TTTCCTTCATTGTTAAGAATCACTATTGCTTCCACCCATTTTGACACATAGTCGACCACCACAAGTATATACTTCATCATATGAGAACTCACAAACGGTCCCTTAAAATCAATGCCCCATACATCGAATAACTCAATCACTAGAATAGGATTTAATGGGAGTTCTTGCCCCCTTCAAAATTTCTCCATCTCGTTTGCACCGATCTATGAGCATCTTGGTGAATGGTTGGCCAATGGTACCCACACTGAAAGATCTTATGCTCAATATGGATACTACTATGGTGCCCTCCCACCAGCGAGGAGTGACATGCCTCCAAAACACTCAATATCTCAACCTTCGGTACGCAACAACAAATAATCCCATCAGCACAACTCAGGTATAAGTAAGGCTCATCCCAAAAGAACTTTTTCACATCATGCATGAACTTTTTCCTCTTGTGGAAAGACAAGTCGGACGGGACTTCATCATTTTCCAGATAGCTTGCAAAGTCTACGAACCATGGGATCAAATCTTGAGAGGTGGCCAATACATGTTCATCTGGAAATGCATCATCAATTTTAGCCTTTTTTCCTAATTCACGCATAGCTTCATCTTCCAATCTAGAAAAGTGATCAGCTACTTGATTCTCAATCACCTTTCTATCTTTTACCTCAAAATCAAACACTTGCAACAATAGTACCCATCGGATCAACCTTGGCTTTGATATTTTTTAGCCATCAAATACCTCAAAGCAGATTGGTTCGTATGCACTATGACCCTTGTGCGAAGTAAATAGGAGCGAAACTTTTCCAATGCAAACACCACTTCAAGAAGTTCATGTCGAGTGACTGTATAGTTTCTAAGCTTCATCTAGGCGTAATAAATGGGATGAAGGTTTTTATCCCTTCTCTATCCCAACACCACACCAAGTGCAACCCACTTTCATCACACATCACCTCAAATGGCTCATTCCAATATGGTGAAATAATAATGGGCACAAACACCAACTTCTACTTCAACTCTCAAATGCTTTTAAACAAGATTCATTGAAATAGAACTTACATTCCTTTTCGAGTAGTTTTCACAAAGAATGTCCAATTTAAAAAATCATTAATAAACCTCAAGTAAAAGGCCACGTGTCAAAGAAAACTTCTCACACCTTTTACACAGATTGTGGAGGAAGCCTCTCTATCACTTCCACTTTAGATCGATCAACCTTTATCCCCTTCTCCGAGATGTGATGTCCTAACACTATACCTTCTTTAACCATAATGTGGCATTTCTCCCAATTAAACACCAAATTACAATCTTCACATCTTTTGAGATTCTCAACCAAATTACACAAACACCAATCAAAGGAGTATCCAACCACAGAAAAATCGTCCATGAAACCATAAATGGTGTCCTCCACAATATTAGGGAATATCGACATCGTACAGAGCTAGAAGGTAGTCGGTGCATTACATAACCCAAACAACATTCTTTTGAAAGTAAATGTCCCTTAAGGGCAAGTGAAAGTGGTCTTTTCTTGATCCTCAGAGGCAATAAAGATTTGGTTGTAGCCCAAATAGCCATCAAGAAAACAATACCGCCATTTGCCTGCGAGTCTATCTAACATCTAATATATAAAAGGCATGGGGAAATGGTCCTTCTAAGTCCAAGCATTTAACTTTTGGTAGTCCATGCAAACTTTCCATCTGGTCCATGGTTGCAACGGAACAAGCTCGTTCTTATCATTAGGTACCATTTTCATTCCACCCTTTTTAGGCACGCACTGAGCAGGGCATACCCAATTACTGTCTGCAATAGGATAAATTACTCAGGAATCCAACCACTTGATGATCTACTTTTTCACTACCTCTTGCATAAGTGGATTCAACCTTCTTTGGTGTTCAATACTTGGGTTGTGATCAAGCATGAGTTGGATTTTATGGGAATAGATACCGGGAGAAACCTAATAATTTTTGCAATAGTCCAAACTATGGCTCGTTTGGATCTCTTCAATACTGCCACTAGGCCCTCTACTTGTCGTTGATTCAAATCTGCTGCAATTATTACCAGCAAAGTGTAATCTCTACCCAAGAACACATACCTCAAATGAGGTGGTAGAGCCTTAAGCTCTAATTTTGGGGCCTCCTCAATAGATGGTTTCGCGGGTGGAGACTCGCGATGCTTCATATCTAACTACAATTTCTTTGGTTTTGACCGATATTCATTTTGTTCAAGTGCATCCACAAAAGACCAAACCCTTCAATACTATCACTGTCAAAATTCATGATCACTGCTGCTAGTGCATCGACATCTAGTCGCTCTTCAATTTATACCTAGGATACACTCTCAACCCTATAGGATATAACAGATAATGTTTGGAGCTCACCACTATGCTTCATGGATCCACAAATGTTGGAAGTTGCTTCTTCATTATTCAACCTAAACTTCATCTGCCCTTTTCCCATACCAACCAATGCACACCCGGTGGCAAGGAATGGTCTCCCTACAATAACGGGAACTTCAAAATTGAACTCACAGTCAAGAATCACAAGATCGAACAAAAATATAAATGACTCCACCTTCACAGGCAGATTGAAGTAACCAATGGGCCTCTTCACAATGCGATCAGCCATAAGTAACCGCATTGTGGTGGGTTTTGGATCACCCAAGCCAAACTTTTATCAAAATTGAAAGAGGCATGAGATGTATGCTTGCACATAGATCACATAGTGCTTTAGTAAAGCATAGCAACCCTATTGTACATGGAATAGTGAAAGCTCTGATCTTCCTTCTTCTACACAAGAGATGTTGTAGCAATAGCACTACAATGCTTCATTCTGTCATCATTCTCAAAACTCACCGATCTCTTCTTAGTTACCATATCCGTAATAAACTTAGTTTATCAAAGGGACATTGGTGGAAAGTTGTTTCAACATAGTGATAAATCGCCGGTATTTATCATCAGTTTTCTTCACTAATCTATGAGGTTATGGTGGTAGAGGTCTAGGAATGGGGACCACATTTTGAAATACAACTGCTTCTTTTACTGTGTTGCCCACCATTTCTCCGCTAGCTTCTACTACCTCTTTGCCTTTTCTCATATTTTCTTCTACTACAGACGGCATAGGTTAATCAATGGTCTTCTTAATAACTCGAGTAGTGACTGACATGCAATGCCCATGATGTTTAGGATTTTGGATAGTGTTATTCGGAAGAGTGTCTGTTTGGCGTGGGTTCACCATAGTGGACATTTGAGCCATTTGTAACTTAAGATGCTTAACCGAAACCACACACTACAGTATTTAAGGCCTACGACTATCCCGGTAAAATGTAGCCTAAACTAGCAAAAAGTGTGGCCTTTTTTAAAGTCCACACCTTTTTACTTTAGGCAACACTTTTACAGGGGTGGCCTAAACTAGCATAACCTTCGACTGCCTTATAAGCCACACTTAAAAAGTGCTCCCTATTCTATAAAAAGTCTACACTTGTAGAACCTTATATGAGAATGTTTTTTATGATCTGTAACAACACTTTTTATGTGTGGCCTTTGCTTCCTTTTTGGCCACACTTTCAAACATACCATTTTGATACTTGTCTAAAGCAACATTTATGAAGTGTAGTCTTTATTAATGTAAATGAAGTATTTTTTATCAATGATCCATATAATTGATGTCTCTCTGATAACACATTAATAAATACTATCCCAAGCGGTATGTTAAGTGACAAATAACACAAATATGCATATAATTGCAATTGAATTAGAAAAGAAATACCTAGAAACAAATAGTAATGAAACAATATTTCAAAATGTGCCCTAGTAATGAACTCCACAAAATCAAATATAAATTAAAAATTTTAATATTCAAAAACTTTGCATCAACTTCAATTGATTTAATTGACTTGTGGCCACGATTTTAATATCCCTTGACATATTATCCCCATCATCGTATCACCGCTGATATACAATCCCAAAATCGGAAAATGGAAACCTACATAAGATAGATTAAATACTCAACCATTAAGAAAAATTCATTAAATCATTATTCTATAACTAAATTCAAAAGAAATACTATGATATTATAAATGTTACCGTGAGAACACAATCTATAGCAACAATGGCTTCTTAGACTTTTCTTATTGAATCCTACATTTCCTGCAATAATAAATAGCAATTTGTGTTGTTGAAAACACATCCAGCAATTAGAGTCCTATTTCAACACATGTTGCCCAAGAAAGGGAAAATTAGAGAAAATTTGAAACCAACTAATGATGGCAAAGTAAGCATATTCATTGGAACACACCGTTGAGTCAAACCAGATGTAATTCAGGTAAGAACATGAATATATATGTATTTGGTAGTTCCCTTGACCATGGTACATGCATATGCAAGGCCATATTAGCATAAACATCAAAATTATTTGATTTCTTTCTTAGCAGTAATAAGTCAGCTTTCCTTGATTGTGATTCCCATAGATACAAATTTACAAACAAAGGTTAACAACACCTGAAAATACTACCTCAATAAGAATATCCCTATTGTGTTGTATACGCCTTGGAAATTTCGGCTATTCGACAACAGGTCCATAATTGTTTTGACAAGGATTTGTCAATTCTGGTTGTCTAAAAGGAAATAGTAGTAGACTCATAAAAAAATTCACTTTAAGTTGCTAACTTCTGTGACAACCAGATTTTATATATGTGATCACATAACCATGAGAAAGAGAAATCCAACTTACTTTTTTGAAGGTCATGCATGTAGGCCTGGGCGTTCGGTCGGTTTAGTTCGGTTCGTAAATATTGGTTCGATTTTTTGGTTTTTTGTTTGGCCAAATATGAAACAAAACAAAATCGAAATAAATTCGACTTGGTTCGGTTATTATAAATTCGATTTGGTTTATTTTAGTTCGGTTTTGGTTTAACCAAATTTAATACAAAAATGATAAAACGGCCATCGTGATAACTAGATATCGACTCAATCAGTAGTAATAAAAAACTATGAAAAGTCAAGACACCATCACAACACTAGAAAGTTCAATAAACTTGTGTCCATCACTAAAATAGAGTTAGTTACAAACTAAAGTCATCATTATCTGGCTCATTGCAATTTCCAGCAACAAAGAGATTTAGAAAATCCACAAAACATCGTTGCAACTTGCAACCTCTATCAAAAGTCAAGACAACAACACAACAACGAACTTGTGAAAGTTCAACAAACTTGTGTCCATCACTAAAATAGAGTTAGTTACAAACTAAAATCATCATTATTTGGCTCATTGCAACTTCCAGCAACAAATAGATTTAGAAATCCAACAAAACATCGTTCCAACTTGCAACCTACATTGCAATTGCTCCCAAGTTCTAGCAGACAGCAATCAAGAGAATAACAAAACATTGATGGACCTGCGAGAAAATAGATCTGTTTACACAAATGATCAACATTTCATAATAGAATATATATAACTATCAAGCAAGTTATGTAAATAAGTTCTTTACTTACTCATTATCACACATCACTAGTTGATAGTTGAACTTACAAGCTGCAACTATATATCAATTATACTAGATTAGTCCCACTACAAGCAAAATCTTAAAAAATATGAAAGAATTTGTTAGTTGTTAAGAAACACAAGTAACAAAATTATTTTCAATATAGTTCATACAAATATCAAATTCTTACCAAGTTCAAGTTGTTCAAGATACTCTAAATTTTTCACAATATTGATTGTAAAAGACTCACTTATAAGACAATCTTGAACACAAATAAGAGATTGCACAATTTTAGGAGTTAATGAACTCCTAAATTGATCAAGAACACGACCTGCTGTGCTGAATGCACATTCTGATGCGACACATGAAATGAGAATGGCTAACACATCACGAACCATCTGCACGAGGATAGAAAATCTCGGCTCATTAACTTTCCACCACATTAATATATCAAAGTCATCACTATCAGGCTCAATATCTTCTGCAAGATATCTTTCCAATTCTGATTTATTACCTGAACATCCACTTACTTCTTTATACTTCTCAAATTGTTGTTTTGTTCTCATTCTTCCTCAATTTACAATGTTTCCACAACCACTCACACTAGATATACTTGATGAATTGTCAGATGAAGTGCGTGAAGATGGTACATGTAAAGAGATTTTTGGAGATTTCTTGACATAATACTCAAATAGTTTGTTCATGTACTTTTTCACTTCTGAACATAGCTTTTCCCCAACTTCTTTTCCAATCATATCCCCAATTGCAAATAGAACATAATCAAGCTTGTTACGGGGATCCAATACAGATGAAATAAATATCATCTTGTTCATTTTTTGTGGTTCACCCCAATACTTTTTTAACTTCTCATTCATACATTCCGCCAATTCTTTAAAATTACGATCTTCATTTGTCATCATCTCTTTCAAAATAAGATTAAGTTCAGCAATTTCAACAAAGTGTGTATTGCTAGTGACATAAATAGAACCAAAGACCTTCAAAGTAAGTACATAAAAAGTTTCAAGAAATATCACTATTGACCTCACATTTTTCCAGTCAACACTTGAACAGTAGATCCATCTTCGACACTAGTTTCATCTTCAACACTAGTTCCATCTGCAACACTAGTTCCATCTTTGTTTTCAGAAGAATCAGAACATAAGGTACGAAGATGATTCAAGTATCCAATATCATAAAAACCATATCTTTCAAATGCAAGCTCAAAATGTTGTGCTATATCAAGCATCGAATTTGTATAGTTCCACCTAGTAGGAACATCTAAACATAATGGTTTCTTACAAGTTATCAATTCATATTCACAACATTCTTTAAACATTCGAAGTCTTGCGGGAGATTGTTTAATCTATTTCACAACTTGTCTCACTAGCTTGACAGACTTACCAATTTCCTTCAACCCATCTTGCACAATAAGATTAAGGATATGTGTCATACACCTCACATGAAGATGGTAACCATCCATAATGTTAGATCCACAATTGCTCAATTTTTTAGACATTTCTTTCACAGCAACATCATTAGAACTAGCATTATCAACTGTAATAGTAAACACATTATCCAAACCCCATTCAAGAAAACAATTAGTAATGCAAGACGCCATATTCACGCCCTTATGACTAGAAATAGACAAAAATTTATTATTCTTTTATGCAAAATCCAATTTCTATATATAAAGTGGGTTGTCAAACACATGTAGTTTATTTTTTGTAAAGAGGTCCAAGTATATGTTGTAAGACAAACTCTTAGACGTGCTTCTTTGAAAACCTTCTTCAAAAGCTTTTTTCTTCAAGGTATAGTTCATAACAACCTCTCGTCACAGTTCTACAAGAAGGAATATGAAATTGCGCCATTGTAACTCTCATGAAGTTTTTAAAACACACTTTCTCAACAAAACTCAATGGTAGCTCGTCAACAATGATCATTTTGGCTAAAGTTTTCCTACATTGTGCTTGGTCAAATTTCCAAGTGTTAATGACCCCTTCCTTTGCTCCCATTGAGATGGTAGATAATTAATTAGATTTTGACCTTTATCTACGGTGTCACGAGGAAATTTAGGACATGTTCACATATGAGTATTCATTGATGACGTACCATTAGATGATGTAGAGGCTACATAAGCTTTTTCACAATACTTGCATTTGGCTTTACTAGCTCCATGTTCATCGGTGAACTTTTCAAAATGCTTCCAATAATTAGCTCTAGGTTCCATGGTTTTTCTTTTATTTGAAGTATCAACATCAACTTCAACCTCACTGGGAGATGAGGTGTAAGGTATGTCTCATTTGAAGCTCCACTTTCACTTCTCTTACTTCTAGTTTGTGTCATCTATACAAAAGCGAAACAAACAACAACAACAAAAATCAACAAAGATACAAGGATCAGACCTCACAAAGTCAAAATAGTCATCGCCCCTCAGCTTTGTTACAACTTATAAGGAAACAAACAATAAAATCAAGCGCAAGAGCAAAAGGTGTTAGGATCGAATTCACGCACACACACTAGATGAATGAAGAACACAAGAACTTTCAAGAGAAAGAGATAAGAAATCTAGAGAGAGAGAAAACCCAATATTTCGTGGTAAAACGCCGTAAGTAAACTTCCACGGCGGTGAGGTATATTTATATTAATAAATCAGAGTATTTTTTGTTACAGAGAATAAATAGGAAAACCTAAAATAGAGAATAAATAGGAAAACCTAAAATTAATCAGGCTCCACTACCTAACAATTCTCCCACTTGGAGACTGACTCAGTCATCCAAAAAATACATTCTCAAAAAAAAATCTCTTCATCATCAACATCTTTACCGCACCGCAACATCTGTAGCAACAACTACAGAAGACCAACTAAGGTTTTACATAACCTCAGTTTCCCAACATCAACACATTTTGTCAACATGTCTGTCGGGTTCTTTGCACCCTCTATCTTCTCCAAGCACATATCACCATCCTCCACTGCCCTGCGAGTGAAATGGTATCGCCTTCTGATGTGCTTTGTCTTCGAATGATAGACTGGATTTTTCACCAACTGTATGGCACTCTGGCTATCTGAGTAAAGAATCTTCTCGCTCTGCTTCTTGCCCAATTCCTCAAGATAATCTGTCAGTCATATCATCTCTTTCCCAGCTTCAGCTATTGCCACATACTCAGCTTCAGTAGATGAAAGAGAAACACACTTTTCAAGACTGGACATCCAACTCACTGCCGTTCCACCATAGTGTAAATGTAACCGGATGTACTCTTGCTCGAGTCAACATCCCCACCAAGATCAGCATCCACAAAACCCTGTATAGTCACCTTGCCTTTGCTAAAACAAAGTGAAGTACTGGATGTACCTCTCACATATCTCAGAAGCCACTTCACAGCTTCCCAATGTTCTTTCCCAGGGTTCGCCATGTACCTTCTAACAACTCCCACTGCATGTGCTATATCAGGTCTACTGCAGACCATAGCATACATCAAACTACCAACTGTTGAAGCATATGGAACAAGTGTCATGTGATCACGCTCCTCGGCAGTCTTGGGTGACTGCTCCTTCGACAATTTAAAGTAATTTGCCAATGGAATAGTCCTGGGTTTAGCATCATTAACCCTGAATCTGCTCAGCACCTTCTCAATGTACAACTCCTGAGATAGATTTAAAGTGCCAGCAGATCTATCCCGAGAAATCTTCATCCCCAGAATCTGTTTTTTGCTGGACCCAAATCTTTCATCTCAAATGCTGCAGACAACCTTGTCTTCATATTGTTAATCTCCCTCATACTAGATCCTGCAATCAACATATCATCCACATACAAGAATAGAAAGACATATGAATCAGTGTATTTCTTGAAGTAACAACAATGATCCTTTTCAGCTTTGCAGAATCCACTCTTGGTCATGAAGGAGTCAAACTTTTTGTACCACTGCCTTGGCGCTTGCTTTAGTCCATACAAGCTCCTGGTGAGCTTGCACACCATATGTTCCTTGCCTGGAACCACAAATCCTTCCGGTTGCTGCATATAGATCTCTTTGTCCAGATCTCCATATGAAAATGTTGTTTTTACATCCATTTGCTCTAGATGCAAATTTTCCGATGCGACAATACTCAATAGAATTCGAATAGAGGTTAACGTCACAACAGGAGAGAATATTTCAGTATAATCAATACCTTTCCTTTGTGAATATCCTTTAACCACTAAACGAGCCTTGAACCTTCTTTTGCCATCTGGTTCAGTCTTGATTCTGAAAACCCACTTGTTCAGCAAAGCTCTCTTCCCTGCAGGTAGCTCAGTCAACACCCACGTGTCATTCTTCTCAAGTTACCTCATCTCATCATCCATGGCTTGCTCCCACTTGATCGAATCCTCCACCTGTAGGGCCTCATCAAAAGACTCTGGTTCCCCTTCATCAGTCACCAATAGATAGTGTAATGAAGGTGAATACCTATCTGGTGTCCTGATGGATCTGGATGATCTCCTTAACACCTGCTCAGGTGTATGTTGCTCCACTTCAGATTCTTCAAAAGAAGTTGGTTGAGTATCTGCTTCAACATTTCTGGGGTTACTCTTCTCCAACTCAACCTCAACTCCCACTTGCTTTGTAATCTCTAGAACCTTCTGCTCTCTATCCTTGTACAGGACAGACTCATCAAATGTCACGTCATAATGTCTCAGGATCTTTCTGTTCTTGTCATCCCAAAAACCTGTAACAAACAAATCAGAACCATATCCTATGAAGTAACACTTCAAAGCCTTGGCGTCAAGCTTGTCTCTCTTTCTGGATCAACATGAACATAAGCAGTGCAACCAAAAGTCCTCAAGTGTGAGTACTTGAGTTTTTTTCCTGCCCACACCTCCTCTGGAATCTTAAACCCTAAAGGAACTGATGGTCCCCTGTTGATCAAGTATGCAGTTGTGCTCACAGCATCCGCCCAAAGTGTTTTAAGCAGCCCACAGTGTATCCTCATACTCCTTGCACGCTCATTCAATGTTCTGTTCATCCTCTCAACAATTCCATTCTGCCTTGCCTTACCAGGAACTGTTCTCATCAAACTGATTCCCTCAGCTGCACAGAATGCCTTGAACCCTGATTTGTCATACTCTCCTCCATTGTAAGACCTTAGGCATTTGACTTTCAAACCGGTCTGATTCTCAACTACAACTTTCCACTTCTTGAAAGTTTCAAACACATCTGACTTATGCTTCAAGAAGTAAACCCATACCTTCCTGCTGAAATCATCAATGAAGGTAACATAGAATCTTGATCCTCCAAGTGATTATACTGGAGATGGTCCCCAAACATCTGTATGGACCATTTCCAACCGCACTTTCTTTGGCTCTCTAGGAGTCTTTGTGAAGCTTACTCTTTTCTGTTTGCCCATAACACAGCTCTCGCAAAGACCCATATCAACAGAATTCAGACCCTCTAATGCTCTTTTTGCAAGCAGCATCTTCATTCCTTTAGTAATCATGTGTCCAAGTCTGTTGTGCCACAGACATGAATCGGAAGCACCTTCAGCAACAGCGGCCATGTTTATACACCCTGCAGTGGTGTACAAGGTTCCAGATTTTGTGCCACGAGCTACTACCATAGCACCTTTCACGATCTTCCACAAACCTTTCCCGAGCTCTGTTGCATATCCCGTGCTATCCAACTGACCAACAGAGATCGGATTTTTCTTGATCCCAGGAATATATCTAACATCTTCCAATGTCCACTGGTTTCCCGAGGTGGTCTTTATGCAAACATCCCCCTTTCCTTCAATCTCTAAGGCTTTATTGTCAGCAAGATACACTTTTCCAAAATTTCCAGATTTAAAATTTTGGAACAACTCCTTGCTTGGAGACGAATGGAAAGATGCACCAGAATCAAAAATCCATGATTCAACCGAGCTGTTCACACTAAGGATTAGAGCATCCCCAATGTCCTCTGCTGAATTTACAGAATCATTGTCATCTCCAAATTTCTGATTCTGTTTCTTCATTGGCTTTGTACAGTTCGTCCAAAAGTGTCCTTTTTCTCCACAGTTCGAACAAGTCACGTTTGATCTGTTCAGTGATTTTCCTTGATTCTTTGATTTTGATCGACCATGTTGATTTTGGCCTTTCGTATTACTTCTCCCCCTTCGATCAACGCTGAGAGATCTCTCACTTCTCGTTTGCGAATACTTTCGCTAAGAACAACATAACGGATTTCATCAAACTTCAGTTTCTCAAATCCACGGGAACTGCCAATCGCAGCAACAACAGTATCCCAAGACTCGGGCAGAGATGACATCAAAATCAACGCCTTAATTTCATCTTCGAAATTAATATCCACAAAATTGAGTTGACTCACAATCATATTGAACTCGTTTATATGATCAGAAACGGATCCATTCTCAGACATCTGTAAATTGAACAATCTACGCATTAAATATACCTTGTTCATAGCCGATGGTTTTTCATACATGTTTGACAGTGCCTTCAACACACAGGACGTAGTCTTCTCTTTCACGATGTTGAACGCCACGTTTCTTGACAAAGTCAACCGGATCAACCCTAGAGCTTGGCGATCTTTGAGTTTCCACTTCTCCTCCGTCATGGATTCCGGCTTCACCCCGGTCAACGATTCGTGAAGATCTTTCTGGTACAGATAATCTTCGATCTGCATCTTTCAGAAACTGAAATCGGATCCATCAAATTTCTCGATTCCAAGCTTTGAACTATCCATCTTCACTGATCGTGTTGAATCTCCTTAGCTCTGATACCAGTTGTTAGCATCAAATTCACGCACACACACTAGATGAATGAAGAACACAAAAACTTTCAAGAGAAAGAGATGAGAAATCTAGAGAGAGAGAGAGAGAGAGAGAGAAAACCCAATATTTCGTGGTAAAACCCCGTAAGTAAACTTCCACGGCGGTGAGATATATTTATATTAATAAACCAGAGTATTTTTTGTTACAGAGAATAAATAGGAAAACCTAAAATAGAGAATAAATAGGAAAACTTAAAATTAATCAGGCCCCACGACCTAACAAAAGAAAGTAGGAACTACATAATAAGTACATGAGAGTTGAGAGATGACTGATGATGAGAGTTTAAGACGACTTGACTAACTTAAAGTTACGAGTGACGAAAAACGAGAGCTGAGAGTTGAAAGATGAGTGAGAGTGACGAACTGATGATAAGACGAAAGTGGCAATCGACGTGGCAGCGAGCCGACGACCGACGTTAGCGTGTGCTGCTGCAGGCTGCGGCCTGCGTATCTGTGTGACAGGGTGGGTCATGAGTCTCGTGACTGGCTGACTGCGTCTGCGTACTGACCGGCGTGGCGGCATTACGAACGACGTCACTGGTCGGTGTGTGTGTGTGATTGTAATTTTGTATGATGTTAATTTAGGGATTTATCATTTATCAATTGATAGGAAATTGTTTTGGGTAATTGGGTATTTGGGTTAGGAATTTGGATAGTTGGGCTTGGGCTGACCTATGAGTTAGAGTAATAGGAATTTATGTAGTTGGGCATGGGCTGATTGCTGAAAATAATAGTATGGGCCGCATGGGAGGATTAGGAATGTGTTATAGACTTATGGCGTAACAATTATATATATATATATATATAAAAAAAAAAATTCATTTTTGGTTAACCAAATTTTCAAATCTAAAAAACCGAAAATCGAACCGAAATATTAAAATGTAAAAATTTAAAACCAAGACGGACCGAAATAACCGAAAAATGAAACCGAAATTAAAAATAAATCGGTTTGGTCAATTTTTTCGGTTTGAACCATATTATGCCCAGCCCTACATGCATCAGCCTTTGTAGTTGAATTCCAACATTGAAATTGATCAAATAGGTGTTAATCGTTACAGAAAAACAGTACATATAATCCATTTTTGGCAAGGGGGAAAAAGGGCAAGAGAAAGAAAGCTAAGGGAAAAGTATATGAAACAGAGTAAAAGGCAAAAAAATCCAACCATTGTATAACAAATCATACACCTACGTCTGCAAATGCAATAACAACTGGTACAACGACGAAAAAATAATTTACAAATATACACAAATCATACATCAAGATCAGGGTATATCCTATCAAAAATCAGGGATTACATGATACATTTAAAATGTTGTGTACTGCAACAATGAAACTTAGATTGATTTATGATCAGAAAAAAGTGAATTATGTAGAAACATATGAGATTATGTGATGCATAGAATGTTTATAATTACCTTCTGATCAGGTGAGAGAGTGGTGAAGGAACCATCAGGATAGTACCAAAACCATGAGGTCTGCTTTGGTACAAAAATTTCATCCTTTTCAAACTAATAAAAATAACAAGAGAACTTATAAGCTATCAAGTTTTCAAATAAAGAGTAAAAGTTGAAAATCAATGTGTTGCGATGAAAAAAAGAATATATTCCATACTCACCATAATAAGTAAATTTTCTAAATTTGCAAGCCTTTTCTTGTCATTAGAGTTTCTGTGTACCTTATTGTTGAGTACTGGAAGACACTTACATCCTTTTTAATAAATAGCTATGTCCTGGAAAGCGTGAAATGCCACAAAAGAATGCAGAGAAGATCAGCGAATAATGATGAGCTAATTTTTTTGATTTAGACAACAAAGAGGAGTATTTTTATTGATGATATCTCCATTGAAAGAGAAGAACGACTCAGTATACTCCTAATAAGAATTGTTCTTGCGTTTGAAACATAAAAGCTATATATAGATATAAAAAAACCACATAACTTGGTTACTTACAGTAGGGATTTTTGTGTAACCTGCAGGAGCAAGAAGTGCAAGGAATTGCATTAAAGAATACAATTTAATAAAGGACAACAAGTTGTATTAGTGCATATGAAAAGAGTAGCGGACCTGGATAAAATTGTTGTAAATTGCTATCTTGAGTAAAGATTCTTCAAGAATGCTCCAGATACCTGACTGTGAAAATAGAGAAGACTCAAGAAACTATAATGTTTCCCCAAAACATAACTAAGAAATGTTTAAAATGTCTAGTTCCAATCACAGGGTCAAAGGGAACATACACCACGGATCCAGGGAATAGAAGCTATCCCAGCATCAGGACCAGCTAGAGATATAAGATTCGTCGCATGTTACATATAATACTAGAAAATGAATAGAGGTATTTGTTGAACTCAACAACCCTTCTGCCAACCATGTTCCCCTCTCGAAGAAAAGATGAGAAGGATCGCCAGACTTATGAAAAAGGGAAATCAAAATATGCGCGGAAACATGAAGAGGTCTACATTAGGAAGTTTAACCTTTTGGTTGTCTGTGAAGAAGGAAAATTGTAGCAGAGAAGATATATGTGTTGAAAAGATAGAATTGCAGCCCACGTGACTCTCTAATTTGAAGGCATGTACAAATTTTTGGAGTGAAACTTCGGAACTACCCATGGTAGCCTGCAGAAACTCCCACGCAGTTAGTATGATTCTATTATATTCAATGTATAAATTTCTTATATATTGTTTATGGAACACAATTCATGAATTTTTTGAGGCGTTTTTCATGTAGAAACTCACTTATAGTTCAAATAGTTACGTCAGAATGTAAGTATAATAATCATGATGCTTCTACTCTCCTCTATATATCCTAGAAAGAAAAAGTAGTCCATGTAACACTAAAATTATATCCTTCTTTGTTAGCCATCTCAGGCAAACTCAAATTCTCCACAACACGTATTGTCAATGAACTACACCTCAATATGTAATGATCTGGGGCCATTAAAAAAAAGTTTTTTTTTAAACTGGTAACATAACTAATTAAAACAAAGTAACTACCACAAATACATATGTTCAATGAAAATATGATTAATCTGAGAATCCTTCCTAGAATATACAAGGTAGATAATGCATATTAGACTTCAATGCAATTTCGAAATGATAGTTTTTATTATTTACCATATTGGTTTCAGATGTGAGTTAAGAAATGGAAACATTATTTACATAGTGGTGCTATAAGCGAAGTTAATCTTAGACATCGACCGATACTTATACTTCAATTCTATTATATTCAATACTCACCTACTCCATATTTTTAAAGGAAAATTGACGATGCATTGCTTGAGGCACTTCTCGAATAGAAATTATCTACTACACATCAACTGGTTACATGTGAACGTTTATCTAAGAATCATGATGTTGTTATTCTCCTTACAACTTGTGTTTGATTACAAATCAAGTAGTTACAAGTAAAAATTTACTACAAGTTAAGGTGTCGGGTTTTTCTTTTCACGTGTTCGTTACAATGAAATTTTTAAGCTTGTAGAGGAAAAATGAAACAAACGAGAAGATTTAAGTCGATATAGTGTTCACACATTATTATAGTTGGATAAAAGTTTCACAAAAAAGAGGAATTGACTTAGACTTGCGAACTACAACAATTGATAGATTAGTAGTATATTGACAATGAAGTCTTGGTTCCACATTAATGCATACACCTTAATCTCATTAGTTATACAAATCATAATAAACTCAAACGGAGCATGAAACAAAAGTAAACCACTCATTTTAAAATAAATGTTGTAATTATTACACAATGGCTTCTATTTTCAAAAACAACAGAAAACTTTCCTTGAAGAAAAAACTATAATAAACTATGTACTGCTTTACTTAACTTTGCTTTGAACTAAGCCTGTTTGGAATCAGAAAAAGTTGTTAAGGGTTGCATTCAAAATTCCTAAAAAATGATTTATTATTTAGTTGGAAGTGGAGGGAAGACATTTCTAAATAAAGGAAGACTGTTTAAGATGGGGATTCATTTAGAAGCTGATAGCATCCATTTATGTGACTAATACCATGGAATCTGCTCATTGTCTCTTTGCTGAATTTGATTTGATTACTGCATTAAGGGAAGACTTCACTAGAATGTTTGGGTAGGCTCTACAACACCAGGATGTTGCAGAATCTGAGCTCATACTAAAGATCAAGAATTAAAGGAGAAGGAAGAAAGATATTCTAGCTGTTGGATTGGAAGCTTATATAAACTGCAGTTGGATAGCTAGATATTGAAAGATATAATGGGACCAGGCTGTATAGAGATACTATCATATAAGAAATATAATTACAACTTAGAAAAATGATTGACATTTTCAGATAGTTATAAAGAGTTAGGAAATATGATTTTCATGGACAAAGTATATAACTGATTTTGTTTTGGCCTGACGTCTGTGATAGCCTTTCTGAAGGAAGTTGAGGATCGGGGTTCTCTTTAGGTGTACAAATTTAGATGTTACAACATAACTAGTTAATACTTATACATACATGCACTCATTTATATACAAAAATCAGCCAAAACTTAATTAAAACACAACTATCCTCACAGTTAACTACTATCAGTGGCTTAAAGAACTTATATGATACTTGTTCGTACAGTAAACTAATCAATTTGCACATTTTAAGTTAAATAAATGCTCAAAACTTGTTCAAATATCTTGAGTTTTCCATTTTATTCTACTTCTCTTAACTTAATTTTATTCAAGTATTATCTACAATAAACAAAGTTAGTCATTCAAATCATCTTAAAAATTAAGGCCCGTTTGGATGGGCTTAATAAAAGCAGCTTTAAAAAACTACTTTTGAAAGTGTTGAAACTTATTTTTAAAATAAACAGTTATCCATTTGGATAAAAGTGCTGAAGTTAAAAAAAAAAAGTTGTTTATGTGTTTGGCAAATAAGTGCTGATAAACAGCTTTTTTAATCAAAATGTCCGAAATACCATTAAAAGTTGTTAACATAATAAAAGTTAATTAATTTATATTTTACAGCTATAAATAATTATATTTTGCTATCATTCACATATTTCTTTCTCATCACATATTATTTATAAGAGGAATATAAACTTGTTATAGATTTTAAAGATATATAATTTGAATAGATCAAAGAACGATTAAAGATTTATTTTAGTTTCATTCATAGGTAATTAACAAATTATATATCAAAAAGTTATGCTCCCAATAATTTTACAAATATTAGTTGGCACCATTAATAATATTTTCGGGTTGACATCATTGGGTACCTAATTAGTTCATGTGCATCTTCGAAGCTTAAAAATTTCGTCTGACTTTATAATCATCAACTTTATCATTATTATCTTGCTTTAATTTGTTAAAACACTTATGAATATAATGTTTACCAACATAGTCGATTTATCAACAACAAATATGATATAATTTTAAAAGAGTTAACTTTGTATTCATTAATGGTATAAATATTTTTTACACGGTCAAGTAATTTAATGGTCAGTAATCTTTTACTAGTGAGTCACCAACTATTTTTCAGCTTATCTCTTTTTTTTTGTTATTATTTTTATATCTTCTAACACTCCCTCCCTAATCCCCCTCTTTTGCCGTAGTGTCCTAATTACCTTTTACCGTTATTTTCCTTTTTTATAATTCAAATATAACAGAAATTTAAATTCTCAAAGACTACAGATATAACCAATTTGTAGATATATTAGTTAAACTCATTTTAAAAAAAGTAAAAATAAAGTTATGCATCATGTTTAAACTTACTTCAAGGTTTATTTTCACTTCAAATTGGAAGAACACGAAGAAGTTCAGCAGCTATGTCAAACGTGAAAAAGGAAAAAATGAAAGAAAGAGATGTTAGGATTATGTGGATAATTTGGAGATTGTATAAAAATATTAAAAGGTAAAAATATGGTCAACTTAAAACAGCTTATAAGCTAAAAAAACACACCCCTATCCCAGCTTTTAATTTTTGACTTAAAATAAGTTATTTTGAATATTGTCAAACAACTAAGTAAGTCAAAAACCAGCTTTTAAGTCAGTTTGACAAGTTTTTAAGCTGAGCCAAACAGGCTCTAAGAACAGTAAGAGTTCACGATTCAACATATTCAAGAAACACTTAACAGAGCCCTAAGCATGGTTGAATTCTAGCTTTTTTTTTCCGTTTCTCCACAGTTCAAGATTTGTTATATTGCAGAGAAAGAAAGTTGATACACTCAAAACAAGGAATAAAACCCCTCCTCCTTCCAGACTTACTTTCACCAAATAGACAATACTAATGCAAACAAATCATGCAGTCTTGAGGGAGAGGCACGCTAACAAGTAACACTATTAACAAAATTAAGTAATTTTTTGTCCACACAAAATCAAAATATACAGTAAATAGTTTCAAAGTAAATAGATATGAAAATAGTCATACCTGAAGTTCTATCTCGAGGAGAGAGCAGGGACTGAAATTCATCTTGAATAGAGAGTTGCTACCACATAAGGAAGAATATACATGCCTCCATTTTAGGATATAGTTGTGATGGAAACTATCCTTAACCGCTTTTGTAGTCTCCCCAACTCCTCCAAACGATGTTGGAATGATTTGAACTGTTTCTCCACTTCCCCAATCGAAGACATAGAAGAAGAGAGAAACGTACCGTAAAAACAAGATCTGTAGCAAGAAGAACTAGATAAAGCTACAATAGAGAATTTCTGCGATGAAATGTGAAGGAGATGGAAATAAGGTTTTGTTTCTGAGTAAATTGATTGAGCATCTCCTATTTTTATTTGGGGAAAAAGGTATAGTGAGCTTTTTTTTATGAATTATTTTTCTTTGACCAATTAATAATTGGAGGGAGTGTTAAATATATGAGAGGGGATACAATATTTTAGTGATAATTTTAGAAAAAATTATCATGCTACAACTGTAAAGTTGCTATGAAATATATTTAGAAGAGAAGAAAAAAGGGTGAAGAGAAAAATTTCTTATTTCTCTTGAAGTACATTCACGATTTAATACCATTAAACTATTAAAAATGATATAAAATTACCCTTCATCCACCTATTAGTACTAAAATATCCTTACTGTCTACCTTTAGGTCCTATATTACCCTTTATTTTTAACGGTCACTTTTTAAATCCAATTAATAAATTAATTAATGACGTGGCAATTTTCTATTGGCCAGATTTTAAATAACCTAAATTAATTCAATAACCCACCCATTCCCAAATTAGACCCGCCCCAAATTCAATTAACCCATCTTGCCCATCTACCATCATCCCGTTTCGATCTTCCTTGAAAGATTACACAATTTGCCAGATTCAGTCCTTGCCCAGAATGGTCTGTTTTCACATAACAAAATGTAGGTAATCACCCCAATACTCCAGATGTCTGCTTCCAAACTGTAAGATCTGTGGAGAACTTCTGGTGCCACATAGTATGCGCTTCCCACAATATCGTTAAGTCTCTCATCTGCAAAACCCCAAATGTAGGTCGAATAATATTAGGCTTGTGGGTCGATCAAAACATGGGTCCTTTGAAAATAATACACACCAACAGAACTTCTCAATTAACCATATATTAACCACAAGGAGTTTAAAGAGTTTGTAGGTAACCAAACTGTAGCTGTGGCAACAAAGTTTGTTAAATCACTAATACCATTGCCCATGACTTTTTTGTTATAAGAAATAACCATTGCCGATGTCTTGTTTTGTTCTCACTCTGTTTTAGGGGGTGGAGGATTAAGCACCAGAAGCCAAGTTGTGTTCTTTAGTTGTTTCACACTTCTACTCCAGTACGACACCATGATAGCAGAACAAGGATTGTTTCTTCATAGCTCATCATTTATGCTGTATTGTACCAAATTCATTTCGATACAAAACAAGCATACACATACTAGCAAATTGTGTAATCTTTCAAGGAAGATCGAAACAGGATGATGGTAGGTGGGCAAGATGGGTTAATTGAATTTGGGGCGGGTCTAATTTGGGAATGGGTGGGTTATTAAATTAATTTAGGTTATTTAAAATCTGGCCAATCGAAAATTAACACGTCATTAATTAATTTATTAATTGGATTTAAAAAGTGACCATTAAAAATAAAGGGTAATATAGGACCTAAAGGTAGACAGCAATGGTATTTTAGGACTAATAGGTGGATGGAGGGTAATTTTGTACCATTTTTAATAGTTCAAGGGTATTTTAGGCCCTTTTCCGCCCAAAATATGATTCCTAAATATCATAAAATTAATCCACATAATTAGACATTTACTATAATACAAATTGTTTATAACACTCCCCTTGAATGTCGTTAGATTATGTGTCTCGTCAAAACCTTATTAGATAAAACCTAGTGGGAAAAAATCTAGTGAAGAAAAAAGAGTATACATATCTAATATTACCCATTATGGACTCCTCATTAAAAATCTTACACAATACCCAATGGGACAAAACCTTGTGAGGAAAAAAGAGGACGTCACGTATTAACTTCCCCTCATGAAAACATCAAGAGACTTGGAGCTTCGTTTTCCAATCTTGAGCATCATCTTCTTAAAAGTTGTATTTGGTAGAGACTTGGTGGATAAATCAGTTGTAGTATTACTTGATCAAACATGTTCCATGTTAATATCACCATTCTTGGGAGCTCATGAGTGTAGAAAAACCTTGATAAAATATGTTTTCTTCTGTATGCTTTTATGAATCTTTCCTTTAGGATCAAAGATTTCTGCAAGTTCCTTACTTCTACTTCTTTAAGCAAATAATCTATTGCCTTTTGAAAACTCTTCAAGAGTTTTAATTCTAGTCGTCAACTTGCATAATAATACGTGTATATGCTCTTTGCATTTTGAATCAATTTAATCCTTATGAGGACGATAAATAAGTTTTCAAAAATTTGTATATGCTTTAGATTTTGAACTCATCGGATATTTTCATCTCAATTTTGTTAAGTGACAACATTCAATGTTAGATGTATGACATCTTCTAGTGCCTAGATTGCAAGTCAAATATGTTTCACGCTTACCAAGATGCACCATTCTACTTTTCACTTGATAATTATTTCTACACTAGCATTCTTTAATAGTCGTAGAATTTGTATCATAATAATCTTTTACAAAATTGTGTGATATTGTATCAAAGATACCGTCAACGATATATCATTTTGCATTGATTCACAATACGACATAATTTATAAAGATCCCATCACTTCATTATTTTTAGGTAGCTACCCCTCTCATGAGGTTTTATAAAGTGTTATGTCGTAAGATCTCCAAGAGCACATTATATCCTTATTATGATTATTTTGATTCTTTGATCCTCTCCCTTTTTCAAAGATTATTTTATTTAGGATTGATTAGTCTATCATGCTTCACGCATGTCATAGACTTTATCATTAAGGGACATTCAATTGGAGTATTTACAACTCTTTTGTGTCTTCTAGTCTCCCTCTTATGTTAGACAAATTAACATCTATCTCAATCATTTGGAGAATCTATCTTTGTGCATCATTGTATATTCATTGATTATATACTACATACCTTAATAATCAGATGAAAAATATTTGGTCCTTGACCATATTGATTGAAATAAAATCTGATCATAATTTATTGGTTTGATGCATACAATTACTTTTGTATGCGGTATCATATTTTAGATCAACACATGGAACTTTATTTTCACAAGTAAAGATTTCACTATCTCTTACATTTAGTGCCACAACATCTTGAGTATTTATCAATATTATCAAGATAAATTGTCTTCATTACATATTCTAAATTGTGCTCTTAACTCAATTATTTTTGCACAAACAATTTTGTGAATGTCAAACTATAGGTTGACAACAAATGCACATGTGATTATCTTATAAATACATCTTTTTATCATATCACATGATATGTGAACGGGCCCACATTCACGTTTTTTATTTTTCAAAATTTAGAGATTTAATCTCAACATTAGTTGATCCAATCAACTTGTCATGAGAACAAACAACAAAAGATTTATTGAAGAATCTTCTAGTTTTTCAATGTATGTTCATTACTCAGTATGCACATCTTTGGGATGGCCAAATTATTAATGCCAACTAATAAATTATTCGTAGTTGTAAACTCCAAGTTTATTATGTCATGTGCCTTTTTGCTTTAGTAAATTCTCAATTTATTACTATTATATGAGAAAAGTTCAACTTTAATACTCTGAGAGTACATTTCAAATATATTTTTCCTCAATTACTCTACCTCTTTTAAAGATGAGTCATGATCCCATCACTAAATAGACTACTTTGATTATCGGAAAATTATGCATGTAATCGTATTATTCGTTCCAGCATTTTTTACAAATATCAAGTTATGAGATAACAATAGACACACATGACACCATCAAGAAGAAACATCTAATAGGACCATTAAGTATCTAAACATTCCACTATGTAAATGAATATGTCCACAAATATTTGTATACGTTCCTACAATGCAGAGGATTCAATCTCAACTTTCATATATGATGGTTCACAATTCACTTGTCTTGCTAATAAACAGTACATAAAAATTCACCATTTAAAAAAATTAGTTTCTTCCATGAATGTCCATTTTAATTTTCCATGATTCGTCTAAACATTATAGACTAACGATGTCCTAGACAATTGTGTCAAACTAAGAAAGTATTGGAATTAGTAAACTTCTTATTTGCCATAAAATGTGCCTCAATTGCACTAATTCTTGTCCATTACAAGCCTGAAGATAAAACATAAAACTTTTGTATAATAAATGTCTTCTTAGAGACAGACATTCGTGGTGATACCACATCATTTACCAAAGGTTGATATCTTTTTAACGTCTAGCATGGTGGCTTATCACCTCATTCACTCTAAAGAATGGATCTGTATTTTTACCATCTATCAAAGGATCTCATTCTTCATGAATGGAACACAATCATCTAAGTACATTAAATTTTGATAACTTAGTACCTCATTCCATACTCATGTGCATCATTTAATCAATTGTCTTCTTTTAGAGATTTATGCACTGCTATATTCACTTTGGAGAATGGATCTGCTTCAACGAGATATATTTCATGACTAATTTTATTAAAAAAACTCATTATTTCCCTAAGTCATCATAATATCATCAATATGCTGCATTGATACTCAAATCCAACGTCTTAGGCCATAAATCTATGAGGGACTTGAATCCAACATCTTTCATCACAAAGCATCAAGACTTCAGATGTCTTACCCTCTTGGTGCGATTGGACGTAAATCCAACGTCTTATTCTTTTGGTGCGATATAACTTAAATTCATTTTCTTACCCACAATGAGTTTCAACCTCAAGCCTTTGAAAATAATTGCAATTTTATCACTTTTGATGATCATTAATATGATTATATATTATAATTACACACAAAGCTTAGACTAATGATTTCTTATGATCAACACTAGCAGTTAATAGATATAGTTTAATAGATCACATACCTCATATTAATATTGAAAATATATCTTTCACTAAATTGTGCTTATTTAATTATTTAATAGATTAAGGAATTCTCTTCCCAGACGATTAAAATTAAACGTATAGAAAGTCGACAAATCTCTTTAAATATTTATTTTATATGGTACCTCCAGATCTATTACATAAATAATTATAACATAAAGATAAATCACACCTTCAAGATATAAGAACCTTATTGCATAACTTATGCAATATCTCTTTTGCACTTTTTCCGTCTTCTTCATAATTATTTAAGAATATAACAATCGTGCTAATAACGTGTTATGAAACTATATAAATTTAGAAGAAGAAGAAAGTAGGGAGAAGA